TATTAAAAGCAGTGCACATCTCCTCCAGTTAATTCCTCTTATATTACCCACTTTATATTCTCCAAAGAACTTATGACATCTATAATTATCTTGTTAATTTATTTGTTTACTTGCTTATTGTTGGTCTTTCCCAATAAAATCTAAATTGCCAGAGGATAAGGGACCATGGCTGGCTTGTTCACCAGTGTATCCTCACTAGGAGTGAGGAGTGAGGATACACTCCTAGAACAGTGTTTGACATATAGAATGTTGTGTTAGTCACTCAGTCATGTATGATTGTTTGTGACCCCATGGACTGTAGCCCACCAGGCTCCTCTGTCCATGCGATTCTCTAGGCAAGAACACTGGAGTGGGTAGCCATTCCCTTCTCCAGGGGGTCTTCCCGACTGCTTCGTAAATAGTTGCTGAATGATTAAATCAATGGATAAATGAATGCTCAGCTCTTAAAGCTCAGCTGCTTAATAAAAGCAGCTCTTAAGGCCTAGGGGACGCTATGAGAAAAATGATTAGTGAATGTCTAAGGGGGAATTTAAAGGATGGATAAATAAATGTCAGGAGGGTTATCAGAAGGAAAGAGAATAAAAGGGCATCCCGAATGAACTTGAAGGAGAGGCAACATCTGGGAGAAACTATTAGCCTTAAGCTTGGATTTAAAGGGAGAGGGACAAAGGAGGCTTCCAGGAGGGAAAACAAAGTCTCACAAGAGGAAGTAATGCTTAAGGGAAAGAGCTTAGAATTCAGAAGTGGGAAATCTGAATTTCAGTCCCATTTCTGCCTCTAACCCACTGTTTGAGCCCAGGCAAATCTCTTACCATGATGGAATCCAAGTTGTCACTGTAAAATATCTGGATCTCAACCCTACAGCTGATAAATGGCTAAACAAGAGATCAGGCAATATGGATGACAGTCCTTTACAACCCTGGTCACATTTTTGAGCATCAAGATTTCTCATTTAATCTGACCTAATCTTTGTCCTCTATGTCAGTCTTAAATTCATACTTCCTGAGGCTGCCCTGAGCCTCAGAAGATGTTTTGTCCAGAGTTCTTGGAGCCACTGAATAGGAAAGCCACCATGCTCTATTAGGATCAGTCATGTTACAGCACACTGTAAACAGCAGTCTTTAAAAAAAAAAAAAAAAAGTATTTCTGGAAGCAATCGAGGTTGAAGATATTCTTTGGGAAGTAGTATAGTGAGTGGGAATTGAGAAAGAATAATGGTTTCCTTCATCAATGCTCCTTACCCCTGGGCCTCTTCTCCCACTTTCCGTTTTTTCCCTCAAGATGCTTCACAAGCTGTGTTCAGGCTTTTTCATTTCTCTCCAACTCAGCCCAACCCATCCTTCATTTACAAGCCACCTCCTCCAGGAAGTCTTTCTGAAATAGTTTCCACTCATTCTCTGACCAGTAAACAAAACCCTCCACTCACTCTTCTCTCTTTAGCACACCTTTACAATTTGGTAATGACAGATCTTGGTCGATGATGGAGATACCTTATTTGTTTCATCACACTCCCTGATTCAGTAATGGCAGATTTTGGATGATGATGGATATACTTTACCCGCCTTATCATACTTCCTAAGGGCAGGGGCCATGGCTGGCTTGTCATCAGTCTCCCAAACACCTTTTCTTACCTGCCTTTCCCCCTCCAAGGTTCCTAAAGACTTGTAGGCTCTTTAAAAACACGGGGATGTTGGAGACACATAGTTTTTCAAGGCAGAAGCCTGGTGTGTCTCCCTTTGCCTGGCAAAGCAATAAAGCTATTCTTAAAAAAAAAAAAAAAAGATGGGGATGTTACAGATATGGGGAAGAGATAGACTGAAAAATAAAAGAAGAAAAAAAGGAAGAGATGGAAAAGAAATGAGGTAATTATGCAAGGCCTTCCCACCTCTAGCATCTCCATTGCCACCCACGGATGTCTGACTACAACATTCCACAGCATCACAAGCAGATATTCTGAATGGAGTTGGAAAGGGGTGGGAACAGTTATGTTGGAGACACCTGTATTAAGAAGATGTGGTGCTATTTGAGAGGCAGGATGCAGTCATGATCAACTAGAACAAGCCAAGCCAAGCCAACACATCAAAAATCAGCTCTGCCCATCCAGTTCTCTGAAGATAGAATAAACCCAAGGGAGAATTAGAGAATCAAGTGTAGAATTTTGGGGGATTCTGGCAAGGAAGGGAGAAAGTCTTGAAAACTGAGACAGTGAAACTACTGAACCACTGAAGCTCGTGTGGTCTAGAGCCCATGCTCTGCAATAAGAGAGTAACCCCTGCTCACCAACAACTAGAGAAAGCTAGCATGCAGCAATGGAGACCTAGTGCAACCAAAAAATACATTAATTTAATTAAATTAAAAAGTCAAATTATCACAAACTTTTGTTTGAAATCTGTGAAACAACACACACTTGTTATCTTACAGTTCTGTAGTTCAGAAGCCTAAAATGGGTCTTACAGGGTGTCAGCGTGCTGGACTCCATCTGGAATCCATCTCCTTGCCTTCTCCAGCTTCTTGTGGCCACCTACGTCCTTTGCTCATGGCTCCCCATCCTCAGTCTTCAAAGCCAGCAGTGGCAGGCTGAGTACTCTTGTGACTCTTTAATCCAAAGAGGAAGATTGTCTTCTTCTGCTTCTGTCCTCCACCTTTTTGGGCCACACCACAATGCATACCAATTCTCAGTTCCCTGACCAGGTATCCAACCCACATTCGCAGCAGTGGAAGTGTGGACTCTTCATCACTGGACTGCCAGGGAGGGCCCTGTCCTCCACTTTTAAAGACCTTTGGATAATCTAGAATAATCTCCCTACTTAAAACTCAACTGATTAGCAACCTTAATTCCATCTGCAAGCTTAATTCTGCCATGTAAGGCAACATGTTCACAGGATCTATGCCACAGGTAACATGTTCACAGGAATTAGAACATGGGCACCTCTGGGGGATAGTTATTCTTCCTATCATAACACGGAAGTCCATTTCACAACATAGATTTGGGTCATATCTGTAGCCATTTGCTTGGGTAGCTGTACGTTTTGTGAGCAGGGAGCTGGGAGGTTTGTTTCAAGATGAGTATACTTTGTTTATCATGTTTGAGTGTCTCCCTGAAGTAAAGGGGGAGAAGGATGCCTGGAGGGGTTGCCTAATAACCTGCTTCTGCTCCATAAAGATTTACTGCTGTTGTATTGTTGTTTTTGTTGACAATAAAACTAATGACAGAGTGCCTTTGCATGTTTTCTTCCAGTATATCTATCTGTCCCTAAAAAATCCGGGTGTCCATCCCAGTGATACCATGTGTATGTATGGCATATGTGTGGTTTTGCATTATATGAGTGTATCTGCCTATTAGGTCTGCGTTTGGGGGCATTTAGACATTGCTGTATGCACACGCATATTTGTGCAACAGTATGTGATTGAAGTTGTAGACATCTGAATGTTTACTTATTCACAACCCCCCAGGAGTACCCAGACAGAATGGCCTAGCATAAGAAAGGCAGAGGAACTAGGAAGAGGAGGAGAGAAGAGGAGGGCGGAGGAGGAAAGAGACAGAGACGGAGGTAATGACACAGCATGAGGAAAAATCCGAAAAAAAAAAAAAAAATCAGAAAGTAGAAGAGAAGGCTTTCCTGGTGGTCCAGTGATTAAGAATTCTTCTGTCAATGCAGGGGACATAGGTTTGATCCCTGATCTGGGAAGATTCCACACGTCAGGGGACAACTAAGCCTCCTGTGCCACAACTACTGAGACTGTGCTCTAGAGCCCAGAGACCACAGCTACTGAGGCCTGCGCGCCTAGAGCCTGGGCCCCACAACAAAAGAAGACACTGCAATGAGAAGCCTGCTCACTGAAGCTAGAGATGGACTGCGTGCAAAAACGAAGACCCAGCGCAGTCAAAAATAAATAAATAAATGAAATTCAAAAAAATATAGAAGGGAGTTCTAGGGATCTGAAATTAAAGAGGGGCAGGGTGGAGTCACAGCAAGGCCATAAATCAGAAGATCTGGGTATGGCTTCACTTCGGGTCATTGCCTGGCTGTGTGACCTTCACAATGCCAGCTGTCTGGGCCTCAGTTGACCAAAAGAGTGAAAATAGATAACCTCAGGGTACATGCCAAAGGAGAGGAGAGAAAAGTAGAAATAAAAACATACACAGGGAAAAGAGAGAGAAACAACTAGAAAGAGAGATATAGGAAGAAACAAGAGAGGCCTGGGAGCCAGCCAGAGGTAGAGCGGAGAGAACCTGACCAGGACTCCTTGAGGCAGGAGTGTGGGCGCCTGCTCCCCACCCCTTACCCCAAAACTTCGGTGTCCTTAAGCCCTTAATACGTAAGGCAGGAAGATGGAGAGAGGCGCCTGGAATGACAGCCACGCGCCAGCGTTCAGAGGCCCGCCAAAGCCACACAAACCAGATCTGTCTTCAGTGCCCCCAGCCCCCCAGATGTAGGTGTGCCAGCCACCTGGAATGACTCATACCCCGGCGATGTGGGCACACATGCCAAAAGCGAGCCTGGGCACCCTGCCCACCTGCACACTGGAGGCCAAGGGGAAGGCGAGATTCCGGCTCTTAAGGGAGGTGGGGGCGGCGGGTGGGGGTGGTGATACGGGCTACCCACCCCACACCTTGCTACTTTGCTACCTTGCCCCCAGAGCGCCTCCTAGCGACCACCTGCTCTGCTCGAGACCTAGGTGTCCCTTCCACCCTCCTCCCCCGAACCTTACTGGGAAGCGGGAGAACCAGATGGGGTGTTACGCAAGGCCTGATGTTTACCTCCCGCAGGGGCCTCCTCCCTCCCTATAAAGCCTGACGTGGTGGGGAGATTGGCGGAGACAGACTGGTCGAAGACCGAGGCGATCCCAGGAGAGCGCCAGGAAAGCGTCAGAAAGTTAATGCGGGAGGCGGAGAGCGGGGCAGAGACGCAGCCAGCAGCCGAGGCGCACCGCCATCTGCGCACCCAAAGGCGGTCGCGGTGGTCGCGGAGGGGACGGCGCCCGGGCGCTGGCTCCCCATGGAGACGTCCGAGCTTCTGGGACCGGGGCTGGTGGAGCGTCTGGAGCAGCTGGCGACGTGCCCGCTGTGCGGGGGCCCCTTCGAGGACCCGGTGCTCCTGGCGTGTGAGCACAGCTTCTGCCGCGCGTGTCTGGCCCGCCGCTGGGGGACCCCGCCGGCGACAGGCCCCGAGACGCCCCCCACCGCCTGTCCGTGCTGCGGCCTGCCGTGCCCCCGCCGCAGCCTGAGGTCTAACGTGCGGCTGGCGGTGGAGGTGCGCATCAGCCGCGGGCTGCGGGAGAAGCTGGCCGAGCCCGGGGCGCGCGCGGGGAAACGCCGAGGCGGGCGCATCCCTACCATGGGCTGCTTGGACCCGCAGGGAGAGGTGAGGCGGGGTGCGCTTCGCGAGTCCGCAGCTGTCCGCGGAAGGGGCGATCGGCTGGGGGGAACGGCAAGTCCCGACCCGAGGCCCTTCTAGAAGTTTAGGCAAAAGAAGGAGTTGGGAGGAGACCGGCTGAGGACGAGGGGGCGGCGGCTGTCAACTGAGAGGTGCCGGGACGCGCGGCGGGGAGTTGACGCTGCGCCCAGAGCCAAGGGGGCTGGACGGATGCCTGGCTCTTGTTAGAGGGGCTGGAGGGAAGGGGTTGGGGAGGCAGAGAAGGGGCTGGGGCACTAGACAGAACGCGGGGAGACCCCCGAGGCCCTGCGAAGAGCCCGCGAACTGGGAAGCTGGGAAAGACGCCACTGGGCGCCCGTGAGGAGGAGGCCTGGCGGGGAGGAAAGGGGAGGAAGCAGATCGGGGCGGGAGCGAGCTGGGGGCCTGGGAGGTTGGTGAGGGAGATCGGAACTCGCCCGAGGGAGGAGGAGCAGGAGGGAGGGCGGAGAAAAAGCGGGAGTGGAGGAGAGAAGGAGGGGGGCTGTCAAAAGGAGGGAAGAAGAGAGGCAGGTCCAAACTTTTCTGCAGCGTCCTGGGGTAGGTCCCCGCTCTCCGGTCTAGACCTTGCTGTGTTGTTTGTTATTGTTCTCAGCTCCTCCCAGGGCCCCAGGCAGAGGCGGTCACGGGTGGAGGCAAGGTCCGGGAGAACAGCCTGGGGATCCCTGGCTCCTCTCCACTTCCCACCCTGATCACCCACCCTCCCACTCTCCCTCCTGGGCCTCTGACTCCTTGGCGGTCAACCATCCTCGTTCCCTTGCCCGACCCCCAGGCGCCCCGGATTCCCTACTGGCTTCTTGCCAGCAGCCGAGCCGGTCTAGAGTCTTGTTTCCACCCTTTGAAGTCTACACATACCTAATTAGTCTAGGTGTAATTGGCATAACTAGACAAGTTGTCTTTCCTCTCTCCCCTTCACCATCCCTCTGGTCTGCCCCAGTTTTCCCCACTGGACAGAGAAATGGAAAGAGGGAATCCTAGACTTTGGAAAGGGAGCACCCCGCGCCCTCTCCTGGCTCCCAGGATGCCCTGCAGGTTGGCGGGGCCTTCTGGGACACATCCAAGTCCAGCTGCCTCCTTGGTCAGGGTTGAGACACACAGAACAAAAGGCCCAGTAAACGCCACTGGGCTTTTATGGCAAGAGGGGAAGCGGTTTTATTATAAGACTTCTGTAAACGAACTCTTAGCCTAAGGACTCTAGGTATGTGTTTGGTCTCTGTGATGGATAAAGCGGGATGTTTATCTGGGATACACCCTCAGGAAGGTGGATGAGGATTGGGGTCACTGACACAGAGAAGGGAGGTGGGGAGGAAGTAGGGAAAGGCGATGACTCTGGGGGCAGGAAAAGGCCGGGATGAGACTAGGGAAGGGGAAATGAGTGGCTCTGGGGGGAGGGAGGCGGATGGTGGGGGGTGGGGTTCGGGGGATGAGAAACTGGTGACAGACAGGAAAGAAAGGTCATGCAAGGAGAAGGGGAGTGAGAGGAATAAGGAGCACATGGGGCTAAAGACGCGAGATCACTCTGAGATGTGGAGAGGGCCTTCACCAGAACAGACCCAGCCACCTGAGGGTGGGGGAGCTTCCCTCAGGATGAAGCCTGGAGCTCACATCCATGTTTTTTTCTGTCCACTCCAGGATATGAAGATGACATGGAGAAGGTGAGTTCCATTTTTACTGTTTCTTCCTTTCCACTACCAGCGGCCACATCCATCACCTTGTCACGGGAACCACATCTTTGTCCCCACTCCCAGACAGGTTTCCTGGGTTGGCCGCACCCTTTTCTGCCCCAGAGATGTCAGTGGGGGAGGGGTGCAGGCATCAGAGGGCAGAGAGTGTCTACCAATTTCTTGACCCTTCTCCCTCATCCCTCCAGGTTTGATGCCCCAACACCCAAGGCATCTAATGCAGAGGACGAGCTCCCTGAAGATTACCCAGTAGTAAAAAACATGCTTCACAGGCTGACGGGTAAGGAGGGCAGAAGAGAGGCAACTAAATGAGAGACTTTTCAGTTTGTTCCCTTTTCTCAAATATGATCCAGTCCTTTTTGATGTCTCTGTTAATTTCCTAGGGCTGCCATAACCAAGCATCTCACACTAAGTGGCTTAACAGAAATTTAGTGTCTCATGATTCTGCAAATAGAAGTCAGGTGTCAACAGCATTGGTTCCTCCTGATCCCTGAAAGGGAGACTCTGTTCCAGGACTTCTCTCTTAGCTTCCCTCAGCCTCAGGTGTTCCTTGGCCTGTGGATGGCGTTCTCCCTGTGTCTTCCCTCTAGACACACTTCCCTCTATACACACTTTTTGGGTCCAAACTTTCCTTTTTTATAAGGACATGGGTTATATTGGATTAGGGTCCACCCTAATGACCTCATTTTGATTACCTTTATAAAGATTCTATTTCCAAAACAGTCAAATTCTGAGGTCTTTGGGGGACTTCATATCTTTGGGGGCAGGAAGAACACGATTTAACCCATAACAAGGTCAATCCTTAACCCTCATGTTCCAGCCATTCTCCCCTCTTTCCTGTTTACTCACACAACAGACCCCTGGAGGTCACCAGGGGAATCTCTGCTGTCACCACCTCTCATCACTCCCTTCCAGAAGTGTCCCAGAACTCGCGTGTCTCCTTGCCCCTGGGGCTCTGGGCCTTCTCTGCAGCTTCCATCACTCCCACGGCTGCCCTCTGCCCCTCTTTAAACTGCCTAGAGAAGGTGCTCCACCCTCTTGGATACCCACCATCCCACCGACCCAGATGGCTTCTAGTACCCCTAGTCCAGAAATCTTTCTTCAAAGCACCCCATACCCACAAGGCCAAGGACTACTTCTTTCTGGTCCCTTGGCTATCACCGCCTTCTCTCTCCTCCGCCCCACCCTCCCTCTAGAACTAGGCCTGTCTACTCCCACCTATTCCCGTGGGTGGTGGGCTGGTTTCTCAGGATACTTCGGATTCCTCCCTCTGCCCTCCCCCCACCTCTACCACTTGGGGTGCTGGTTTCTGGTATCAGTCCTCCTCTTTAGCTCCACCTTTCCCATCCTGTTGACCCAGCTCCCACGCCCTGCCCCAGATGCTGCAGATTGAGGTATCGATCCTCCCGCTCCCAAGAAGTCAGTCCAGCTTCACTCTCCCCAAGTCCACAAACCAGGAAACCCCTCCCCTATGCTCCTGCCCTGGGCCGGCAGGGTCCTTCTCCAGGCCCAACTCTCCGGAAGGAAGTGGCCCATCAGCGCAGGCGGGGTCTCGCCCAGGCCTCCTCTTCATTCGCCTTCACCCTCGGTGGTCCTACGGCCGCCTTCGTAAAGCCCTGTTGTGAGCCTATGGCGTCCGACCCCGCCTCCGCCTGGGGAAGCCCTCTCACACGGTCTTCCTCGTGCCTTCCTCTCTCCAGCCGACCTGACCTTGGATCCTGGCACGGCACACCGCCGCCTGCTAGTCTCTGAGGACCGCCGCAGCGTCCGACTGGCCCCACCGGGGACACCGGCGCCCCCCGACGGCCCGGCGCGCTTCGATCAGCTTCCGGCGGTGCTGGGCGCCCAAGGCTTCGCGGCTGGCCGCCACTGCTGGGAGGTGGAGACCGCGGACGCCGCCTCCCGCGGAGACTCTTCCGGAGAGGATGAGGACGACGGGGAGAGCCTCTACGCCCTGGGCGCGGCAGGGGAGTCGGTGCGACGCAAGGGCCGAGTAGGGCTGTGCCCCGCTGGGGCCGTGTGGGCCGTGGAGGGCCGCGGCGGCCGGCTGTGGGCGCTCACCGCCCCGGAGCCCATCCCGCTGGGCGGCGCCAGGCCCCCGCCGCGGCGCATTCGCGTGGACTTGGACTGGGAGCGGGGCCGCGTGGCCTTCTACGACGGCCGCTCCCTCGACTTGCTCTTCGCCTTCCAAGCGCCGGGTCCCCTCGGGGAGCGCGTCTTCCCGCTGCTGTGCACCCGCGACGCCCGCGCCCAGCTCCGCATCGTGCCCGCGGAAGGCTGAGAAGCTCGCCTACAACCTCCGTTCTGGCCTGGCCCAAATGAGGCAGCTTCCTCTTGAGCACGGACATCCTTACTCATTCCAGGGATCCTGTCCGCGCCCACCGGGCAAGTGTATTGATAAGCACCCCGGACCTACCCCCTCCATTTTCTCCAAATAGGATCTCCACTGGCCTCCAATTTCCACATCCATGCCCAAAGCTGAATTCCTGAACCCCCTTCCCCCCCATCTTGGGATGCTCCTCCCCCTCGGTTATCTCAGTACTTCCCCCAGGGATCCCTCCCCTTCTATATTTCCCAGGCTTGATTGGGGAAGAGGTCCTGCCCCACCAGTACTGGTAAATGGCCCATTTTAATACACAGAGGGCCAGCTGGTCAAATATTTACCTCCCACCCCTGCCCCTCCTCCTAGCAAAGAAGAGCACGGTGCCCTCTCCACAGCTCTGAGGTTTGGGCTTCCCTGCCTCGTCCACTCTGAGGTTTCTCTTCAAGACCCTCCTCCCCTAAAACATGAGGCTTAACTGTGGCCTGGCCCTTAGGGCTCTCTGTTTTTGGGAGATGGGGGGCAGGACAGTTCTATTCCACCCTGACCACCTTCCATGTTTACAGCCATTTCTTGTTAAGAATCTTCTTAACCAATAACCCGTTTCCCCCGCCAACCCCACAACCAGCTCCTTATGAGTATGGCACATACTCGTAACATGGAACCAATGGTGCTACCTCTCCATTTCTCAACCTGGGAACGACCCAGACACCCCAAATTTGCCCTTGTATATATAGCCTCACTTCTTTCCCCATATGTATAAATGGGTCCATATTTAACACATTTTTATGTTGGGTTATTTATTTTGTGCATCTGTGGCAATAAATGAGATCTCAGTGGTGGTATGGATTTGACTGATCTCTGCAACCGTGCACTGCAAAAGGCCTGGAAAATGATATCCAGATCCCAGTAAGGAGTGGGGAGGGCTGGGAGGGCTGGACATCTGGGCTGGGAGAGACATCAAGGCCTTGGAAGGAAGGGGTAAGATTGCATCTCTTGGCTCCCTCCCTTTTCCATCCCCTCCCAGGGACCCAGGCCCCTGGGGCCGGGTTGGATCTGTCTCCTAAGTTGGAAGACCAAAGGCTGAGGAGATAGTGGGCTCTAAGTGACTAGTCTTGGAGCCAGTTTTGTCAGAAACCCTAGTCACATGAGAACGGTGAGGAGAGAGGACATGCCTATTTTTTTTTCCCCCATTTCTCATTAAAGGTGAGAATGGCAAAGACCTCCCTCGCTCCTAACTCCTCTTAAGGGCTTGAGGGAAGTGGGCAGGAGAGGAGGGAAAGGGCTAGGAGCCCTGAGGTCTCACAGAAGACCTCACATCCCACAGGCAAGGACTAAGAGTTAGCATGACATAAATACATTAGTGGAAGAGCTCTAAGCCAGGATTAACAAGCATAGCTGGAGCAAGATTGCCTGGAATCTGACTAGGACCCTGGCAGTGAAAGCTGGGGCTGCTGGAAACCCAATTTAACTGTTTGGAACTCAAGTAGAGAGTGCAAGGGGCCAAGGTAACTGGATCCCAGGACAGGCAGTTTGGCAGTGAGAACAAAGGAAAAAGATTGGGATCAAGATGCCTGGATCCCTGGAGAGAGAAGGCTGGGTATTGTAAGGAGAAATGAGGGCTGGGGGAACCCAGAAGCCTGGGTTCTGGAATAGCAGCAAGTCAGAATTCCAGGATCTCTGTCCACCTTCCTCTCCCTCTTCCCTCTGTCAGGCAGAGGAGAAGGGAGGAGGGGGCTGGAGAAGGGATCAAATCATGGGTTTAGTCCCCGAGTAGCCACATGAATACATTCAGGGCCAGACAGACACAGGAATGGTGGGGGAGCGAGGAATTTAGTGCTGCATGGGCCCTGGAGGGGGCTGGGAGGGGTCAGGAGGCTGGGGAGGGGTGGTGGGGCTTGGTCCCGGGGTTGCATGACGCCGTCCTTTGCGGTGGCCCCGCACACAGTGTGTATGACCACAGCCCTCCTCTTCCTCATCATCACTCTCCGTGGAGCTCTCGCCAAAGGCCCGAGGTTTCTCATAAATACAGCAGCCTGGATTTGGATGCAGGAGCCCAGTGAAAAAGGAGGAAGAGTTCAGACGTAGTGTCAGTTCCATTCCCACCGGATCTCAGTCAAAATTCCTACTTCCCACCATTTTCTCCTTCTACCTTCCAGATCCAGCTTTCCCAGGCCTACACCCTGGGACTCTGTCACCCACCCACCTTGCCTTTCCAGCTGGTAATCCAAAGCTCCTCTTCTCCCACCTCAAATACCTCTTGACTTTAGGCCTTGGCACATAGAAATTCAAGCCCTTCCCTACCTCTTTCCCTCTAATTTAACCTCCTCTCCCTGATAACAGAAAACCACCAAGGCAGCCACAGGACTGTGAGCTTCCGGAAGGCTAGTGAATGCCAGAAGGCAAAAGATATGCTGAGGGGAGCCAGGACTCCAGCGTTACTGTGGGCAACAATTACTCACATTTTGATGAGCGGCGGCCCATGTGTTCATTGTCCACAGTATCACTCGTCCATTCCACCTTTTTCTCTGGCTTCCGTTTCCGAAGTTTGATGGTTAGGCTCCGGTTTTCCTGGAAGGTTAAGAAGGACAGACATACCTAGTTAGTCCCCTCCTACTAACTCTTCCCGCTTCCTCCCTGGGGCCTCCTTTCTTCCCTTCCCCAGTTCAATCAGGATCACAAACACAGCAACAGAGGAGCTGATGCTGGGAGAAGATAAAACAGAACAGGTTTTTGACCTCAAGGAGTCCCTTGAGGAATTCTGTTAGTAACTACTAGTATGCAGAGAAGATACAATTCCTAACCTAGGGAGAGTCCCAGCAAATCTTCAAAGGAAAATATAATCCTTGCTGTTCCTCCATCTTCCTCCCCAAAACATCCTTGGTGGTATTAATACATGGAAATTATTTTCTCAGTCACCAACACCTAAACTTTGATCTCCCTTTCTTTTCCCAGAACCCCTATTCTTTTTCCCATTAAAGAAATAACTCTGTTCTCACATCTCTCATCCCCAAGCCCAGCCCTCCCAACCTGTTTTCCACCTATTCTCCAGCATCCTGGCATCTCTAGTAACTATTACTCTAAACTCCCTTAATCCAAGGGTTATTAAGTCCGACAGGAACTTCTCCCTTTGAAAGAAATGTTTTTGCAAAAATGCTGTTTTTCTCTACATGTCTGATTTTTCAAAATACTCTCATCATCTCCCTTTTCTTGTTCCCTCATTCCCTCTGCTTCCGTTTGCAATAATCCCTTCAAGAAATATTTATTGATAAGCATGCTTCGTGTTAAATTTCCCTACAATGAGTTTCCAACCATGCGTTCTTACACAACCCTTCATTTCCCCCAGCACATCCCTTGCTCATTAATCGCCAAGTTCGCGGTCTTTCAGTACTTACACACACCACCATCCCAAGCAGCATCACCTACATCTTAACTCCATTGCATGTCACTTGACCAGCCTTCTGCACCAACTCTGACACACCAAAAAATCCCTAATACCCTGCGAGTCTCCCAAACCCACTTTCTCCCATATCCCCAGGCCCAGCCCATCCAGCAACTCTCCAAAACCCTATCCCTTCCCTCCCGGTATCTCCCAGACCCCTAAACAGCACCGCCCCCCGCCTTTCTCACGGGCTCGGTTGTCACGGTAACCGTTGTCTCAGTGACGGTCTCACTCAGCCCGGCCCCTGCCTCCGCCATGGCTAAGGCTGAGGAGAGAAGCGGAGGAAAGGTGATGGGGCACCCTTCTGTCTTTTCTGTGTCTCTGAGGTCTAAGAGAATCGGTATCGATTCAGATTAGCAGCCAGGATCCTCCACCTTCTTTTTTCCCCCTCCTCCTGGGCCTCCGCTGCCCCACCCCTGGGGATAACCTGTCCAACCCCACTTCCGGCTCCCTACTTCCGGGTGTGACGCGTTTTGTGGTCCCCCTTTTCCCTTCCTGGCACTAAATGCGTCAAAGCTCCGGGTCGCTGGATTAGTTCCGCCGTAATGTGACAGTGCGCAGGCGCCGCAAGGAGGCGACACAACTTTGGCGGAACAGGCGTCACTTCGGTGCGGGAGCCGGAGGCGGGGCGAGCAATGACTTCCTGATCCTGCAAACGCAGAGGTTGAGCAGGAATCCGCGGTGGAGGTTAGATCTGGGCCTGTTCCTGAAGACTGGGTACCGCACCCGGTTCAGACGTCCCGTAGCTGAGTCCATCCCATTGCCATCCCTTTGTGTGTGTGTGAGTGTGTGTGTGTGTGTGTAGCTGAGTCCATCCCATTGCCATCCCTTGTGTGTGTGTTTGTGTGTGTGTGTGTGTAGCTGAGTCCATCCCATTGCCATCCCTTTGTGTGTGTGTGTGTGTGTGTGTGTGTGTAGCTGAGTCCATCCCATTGCCATCCCTTTGTGTGTGTGTGTGTGTGTGTGTGTGTAGCTGAGTCCATCCCATTGCCATCCCTTGTGTGTGTGTTTGTGTGTGTGTGTAGCTGAGTCCATCCCATTGCCATCCCTTTGTGTGTGTGTGTGTGTGTGTGTAGCTGAGTCCATCCCATTGCCATCCCTTTGTGTGTGTGTAAAAAACTAAGGGGCAATAGCAATGATCCTACCACAGCCTAACTTCATTTCCTTTGTCTGGGAATTAGGCATTTGGGACCTGGGAGCAGCTGGAAACACACTTGATTCAGAGTTTTAATCCTCCTTCTGTGCCCGTAGAGGTTGGAGCAGGGCACTTAATGCGCCTTCAACATGGATTCTTTCCTGTCACTGGCACATGAAACACTCTAGAGTCTGCATTTTAGCTCCAAGTCTACAACAACTAATGGGGAAGACTGGCAAAAATATTAGCAAAAATATAAGACATTAGAATATTAACATAGATGTTAAGACTCATCTGTGAAACTGAATTTAGTCACATACTGCCTACACATGCTCTGGGGTGGAGATGAGAAAGCTTAAACACAGAAATGGTCATCAGTTCAGTTCAGTCACTCAGTTGTGTCCAACTCTTTGCAATCCCATGGACTGCAGCACGCCAGGCTTCCCTGTCCATCACACCAACTCCCAAGCTTACTCAAGCTCATGTCCATCGAGGCAGTGATGTCATCCAACCATCTCATCCTCTGTCATCCCCTTCTCTTGCCTTCAGTCTTTCCCAGCATCACAGTCTTTTCAAATGAGTCAGTTCCTCGAATCAGGTGGCCAAAGTATTGGAGTTTCAGCTTCAGCATCTGTCCTACCAATGAATATTCAGGACTGATTTTGTTCAGGATGGACTGGTTGGATCTTTTTGCTCTCCAAGGGACTCTCAAGAGTCTTCTCCAACACCACAGTTCAAAAGCATCAGTTCTTCAGTGCTCAGCTTTCTTTATAGTCCAACTCTCACATCCATACATGATTATTGGAAAAGCCATGGCTTTGACTAGACGGACCTTTGTTGACAAAGTAATGTCTCTGCTTTTTAATAAGCTGTCTAGGTTGGTCATAACTTTTCTTCCAAGGAGCAAGCATCTTTTAATTTCACGGCTGCAATCACCATCTGCAGTGATTTTGGAGCCCCCCCAAAATAAAGTCTGTCACTGTTCCCCTGTCTATTTGCCATGAAGTGATGGGACTGGATGCCATGATCTTAGTTTTCTGAATGTTGAGCTTTAAGCCAACTTTTTCACTCTCGTCTTTCACTTTCATCAAGAAGCTCTTTAGTTCTTCACTTTCTGCCATAAGAGTGGTGTCATCTGCATATCTGAGGTTATTGATATTTCACCCGGCAATCTTGATTCCAGCTTGTGCTTCATCCAGTCCAGTATTTCTCATGATGTACTCTGCATATAAGTTTTAAGCAGGGTGACAATATACATACGCCTTTCTTGATTTGGAACCATGTGTTGTTCCATGTCCAGTTCTAACTGTTGCTTCTTAACCTGCATAGATTTCTCAGGAGGCAAGTCAGGTGGTCTGGTAGTCCCATGTCTTTAAGAATTTTCCACAGTTTGTTGTGATCCACACAGTCAAAGGCTTTGGCATAGCCAATAAAGCAGATGTTTTTCTGAAACTCTATTGCTTTTTTGATGATCCAGTGGATGTTGGCTCTTTGATCTCTGGTTTCCCTGCCTTTTCTAAAACCAGCTTGAACATCTGGAAGTTCATAAATTACAATATAAGCCAGCTTGTAAGATAAAAATACATGTGTGTTTCTCAAGGAGCAAAAGAGTGGTAAAGAACAGGCAAACAGACGAATGACTTTTTTAGATAAAGAAAGCAGGTTATAAAGTACTTGTGTGTACTGAAGAAAATGGATTCCCGTATTGCAGGGATGTAAGGAGTTTCAGTTGACTGACAGGTAGACATGGTTATGAGGCCCTGTAAACTTTGCAAGAAACTTGGACTTTATCCAGTCAGTGAAAGGCTTAGAGACATGAACAGATTTTATTAGATTTCAGGAGTGTGGCAGTAAAGTCAATTACCAGAAATGTTCAAACATACAGTGGAGGAAACTGTCTTGCCCATCTGTCTAAGTTGCCATGGATAGCATATCAGTTCAGTTTAGTCGCTCAGTCGTATCCAACTCTTTGTGACCCATTGGACAGCAGCAAGCCAGGCTTCCATGTCCATCAACTCCTGGAGCTTGCTCAAACTCATGAGAACTCCCAAAATAGAAAGGACCACACAACTGTAAGATAATCATGAGTGCCATCTTCTAGTCACTACTTAAACCAAAGAATGCAGGAATACTAATTCCCAGGCTGAAATTTGAATATGCTGATTGTGCCTGGACTAAATATTTGTTTGCCTTTAAAGTTTTTGGCTCAAACTGAAAAAAATAAGCTACGACTCAGCATGTAGAGTAAAGCCCATTAAAATAAAAAATCATTGTGGAGTGGGATTCCTGTTGATTTTTTTTTTCTTTCTACTTTTCTCTACATAAATCTGTTACAGTGTAAAAAAAAATGTGTGTATACATATATATATATAACATTATCTCAAGAGCAATACAAAAATTTCCAGAATGTCCACTTGTGTCTTTGAGTGTAGATTTTATTGTTCAGACTTACATATCAAATGAATCTGATTCAGAGCTTTCTGTTGAAGCTCACTATCCAAACGCCCACTTTTTGTTTCCCTAAACTCAGGAACCAAATAAGATTTAGCTAACGAGGGAATACTTATAATTGCCTTTTTATGTTATTAGCCTCATTCCTGGCTCCATTTTTTTATCCTAGTTTTTTATATTTTTTTTCCCCCTTTTTCTTTCTGCTGTACTAATTTATATTCCTTTTTTGTCACTGATACATTTGTTGAGAGAATAAATATATCTCTCTAAGCTAATATAAATTTCTTTTGGAACAAGATAGATTATAAATAACATACATATGTCTGGCTCTTATAGAAAAATATAGCTTTAATAAGGACACTCAATTAGGGTAGGAGTACTCTGGGGACAATGGTAATCCACACATGACGATCTGCTTTTCCTCTGAGAGCAGAACACTGCAATCGGGAGATGGACAAAGGACCTAAGAACCCAATATCCTTCAGCTTCCAAGTAAGAAAAGGACTGTTGAGGCGCTCAGGAAAAAAATCAAGAATCTTCCTTCTCTTGGAACCTACAGAGAAAGAAAGGACTTGTTATATTTGACCAAAGGAAGAGGTACTGGCAGTGTAAGATGAAAGAAATAATCAAGGAAGGACTTTCATTTATGACCATAGAGGACTAGCTCCCCTAAAAACCCTCCACAAATTCAAGACAATTAAAAATGCTGGGATTAAAAATGTATCTTGCAAATTATGAATTAAGTCAAGATTTCTTAGGAAAACAAAAAGCACTAGCTATAAAAGAAGAACAGATAAACTAGACCTCATAAAAATGAAAAACTGGTCACTTAAAAAAAAAAGTTAAAATAAATAGGCCAGGCTGAGAAATACTCCCCAAAGACATTTCTAACTATAAATATTTTTAATCCATTGATGAGAAGGCAAGAAAGTAAAGGCAATCTTCACATTGAGTGAAACTCTATAAAACCAGGAATCTAGACAGGTACATTAAAACTGAAGCCCCTGGTAAGCTGGTGCCCTTGCTGTTTTGATAGCCACATGAGTGAACCAGAGACAAGCCTACAATATCTGATAGGAGATACTTTGAATAAGTTTGAAACCCCCAAAGGGCTACACCTGTGTATAAAAGTGAACAAGAAAAAAAAAAAAATCCAACTCTGCAGAAGAGGAATTTGACTGTCTCACTAGGTAGAGGGAGAAAAAATTAAAAATTTCCCTCTAGAATTTCTAATCAAAAGCTGACCTTACATTGGATTTGCAGCCCAAACACATGAAGCTGAGAATTTATTTAAAGTCATTCCAGCTTGGTAGTGCTTCAAGGCACCAGAAGAGGAACACACATGCTAAGAATATAGTTTTCACTCCAGGCCTCAAAGAATTCCATAGTCCAAATTCTAAAAAATCTGAGCTTATATTAAAAAATTACAAAACAAAAAAAGCACCATGATAAAGTGCAGGAATAATGGCAGCATCAGACCCGTAAAAACTATGTGTATGAGAATTAGGAGACACAGAATATAAATATCATGCTTAATATATTTAAATATAATATATGTAAGAATTAAAAATAATTTTAGGATTAAAGAATCATGAATTATTAAAAATGATTGAGGAGACTTGAAAAATAAGCAGAACTCAAAAAAAATTTTTTTTAAGTAACAATAACTCACATAAACTGAAGACAGAATTAGTGAAGTGGAAGAAAGACCAGAAGAATTTACCCAGAAGCAATATAAAGAGAAAATAGATAGAAAATTATGAAAGGGTGAGAGAAATGGAGTAGTGGGTAAAGTCTAATAAGCAATTAATTAATTAGAACTCCAAAATGTGAGAACATAGGTAAAGGCAATATTCAATGAGATATGGCAGATAATTTTCCCAGGTTGATGGAAAAGAAAAAAAAAATCAATCTTTACTTTCAGAAAGCCCAGCAAATCCTAAACATGATAAACAAAAGAAAGCCACATCCAGATATACTGTAGTGAAACCACAGAACACCAAAGACAAAGGGGAGTTCTCAAAACTATTCAGAAAATCATGTTCTTTAAATCACCCATGACTAATTCTCACCAAAGTAAAACTACCTTGAGTACAGTGGAAGATGCAACGGTAAGTAATACCCAGATCATCAAGCAACATTGGCCTTCTTTCCTTTTAAATATCTTAAAAGGTTTAATTCACCAAGTATAAAAAGGATAAGAAAAGTGTAATTTTCTAAAATAAAAAACGACTAAAAGTTTCCCTATTATTTCAGCTGTACAGAAGAGAGGGATGGGACCAAAGAACACAACTGTTTATTCAGTACAAAAAGCAAATCACTGGATTTATTTAGGTCGCAAACAGACTGAGAAAGGGCAGATAGGAGGGAAAGGATACGCACTTGCAGTTGGTACAGGTGTAGAAGACGGTCTGCCCTTCATCCGCTGATCGCATCTGCCTGGTGTGGTACGCCATTCCCTCGTGCCCACATCGAGAGCAGCGCCTGTCAACCTGGGAAGCAACTGGTGGGATTAATAATTCCCCTTTCCGCTCACAGACATCGGGCTGTCACACTCTCTAGACTCTGATGTTTTAAAGACCCCTCTTCCCTCTTCCAGGCGCAGTGGTAAAGAATCCGCTTGCCAATGCTGGAGACGCGGGTTCCATCCCTGGCTCGGGAAGATCCCCTGGAGGAGGAAATGGCAATCCGCTCCAGTATTCTTACCTGGAAAATTTCATGGACAGAGGAGCCTGGCAGGCTACAGTCCTCGAGGTCGTAAAGAGTCAGACACGACTCAGCATAGCACACACCCTTCCCTCTTGGAATTGGGTACAAAACTCTCCAGATTTGAGCAATCGCCCCTCCATTTCTTTCCCACCCTCCTTTGATGGGGCCAGTCCTCGATGTCATTCACTCACCACGGGTCCCTGGAACTCAGGTCCTTCCTCCATCGACAAAGGCATGGCTGTCCCCAGTTTGTTAAACACAACTGAGGTCTTCACAATCTTTCCCTCAAAGTCTGCGCAAGCAGTAAGAACTGGTTGTGGAGACAGTCAGGAGGGCTGACACCCATAACTCCCTCTCGGTTAGGACACGGGGCCTTAAATATAAGGCCCTTCTTCCCTTCAGGTTTCGACCCAAGGCCAAAAGTGCCTGATTCTCTGCTTCAGGGTCCCCCTCTTCAATCCAAGCGATATTATGGTCCTCAAGCCACTGACCCTTTCACGCTGGGCCCCCGGCCGGGGTCGCTGCGTACAAGCCCCTTACCTCGCACGTTGATGGAGAAGCCACAGCGGGTACAGGCGACCGCATCCTGAGCCCCGGGCAGAGGCAGGACCGAGCCGCAATCTGGGCAGAAATCCAAGTCCGACTGAAAGCTGGAGCAGATGCCGGCGAGGTCCATGACGGAGGGTGGTCGAGGGCTGGGAAGGAGAGATTGCTAACAAAAAAGAGTCGCTCCCTCCCCTCCCCTATTCTGTCCTTGGACCTACTCATAGAGAACTCGAGTCCTTCTCCCACGTACGCCTGTGCCTCTAAGACCAAGAAGCCCATATATCCAGAATTTCAAGCCGGGGTCCGGTACTTCGACTTGGGGGCTTACCTAGGACAGGCGAGAAGAGGAAGCCAACTCCACGAGCTAGAACGCCGGCTCTACGCTGCAGCGCAGTAGCGAGAGCAGGGCAGGCTAGAGCGCCCCGTCGTCCGGCCTGTCGATTGGCTGTGACGTCATAATTAATCGCAATCTTGGTCCCCGGAGGGAGAGGAACCTCTCTGAAGGAAGGTTGTAGCGCTACCTTCAGGCTGGTTTTGTGGCGTTGGATAAGAAAACAGGTGACTGAAGCTGAGCCTCCGGTTGTTTTTCCCCTCAGTACTCAGTTCTAGGAACTACAACTTCCTCTGTTCCTGAGTTGTTGTTGTTGTTTAAAAAAAAACAAAAACAAAGTGAAACATTGTGGGAGTTACAGTTCTAGCGCTCCTCGGACCTCGCGATGCAAGCAAGAGCGCTCTGCAGAGCACCGCCTGGCTCGAGTGCTGGGCCCTTGGCGACGAAGAATTGAGGCTTTTGAACCGTGGTGTTGGAGAAGACTCTTGAGAGTCCCTTGGACTGCAAGGAGATCAAACCAGTTAAGCCTAAAGGAAATCAGTCCTGAATATTCACTGGAAGTACTGATGCTGAAGCTGAAACTCCAATACTCTGGCCACCTGATGCGAAGAACTGACTCATTTGAAAAGATCCTCATGCTGTGAAAGATTAAAAGCAGGAGGAGAAGGAGAGGACAGAGGAGGAGGTGGTAAGATGGCATCACAGACTCGATGGACGGGAGTTTGAGCAAGCTGCTGGAGTTGGTGATGGACAGGGAAGCCTGGCGTGCTGCAGTCCATGGGTCGCAAAAAAAGAGTCCGACACGACTGAGCGACTGAACTGAACTGGGCCTTTGGAAGGGGTAAGTCGACCTCTTACGGGGCATGAAGTGGAAAGAGTGAAGGCGGAGGAGAAATGCCTAGTCACTAGGAAAGAAAGGAAGCAGGGATGAAGTAGGACACTTAGGAAGGGGCTCAAGACTTTGGAGGTAGTGAAACAGAAGAGACTGGGACTCCTTCCTCTGTAGATGCCTGTCAGATGAGGGAGGTTAGCATTAGTCAAGGGAGCAGCCTTGCGACGACGACTGTCGAGGTTTGCTTTCAGTTGCAGACCCCTTCCACCTTGTCCCCCGCCTCCCATCCGGCCAGCTCTACATCATCATTGCATCCATTAGATGGAGAGTTGACATATCCCTGATCTTTTATAAAACATGAGGACAAGTGTCTTAAAAGTCTTGCTATTTTAATTCATTTGGAACCTACAATCTAAAGTGTAGAATCTTGTCGTCCTGAAGGGACAGCTTCTAGATAAGTTTCTTAGTTCTCTCCCAGTCCACCCACCCCCTCTCAACCTCATTGCTGTGCTAAACTGCTTACGTGTGAAAGGTCTGGAGCCATCACTATTTTCTCCTGTTTGAAAGACAACCAGCTGTGGTCTCTCCTAGAGAGGTTTTGATGCGCTACTCTCTGCAGTAATGGAAACACACAAACTAGTGAGAGGGTTAAAACTGAGCAATCTACTAGAAAGTGACAAGCCCCATAATAATTTGTCTTACAAGGAGAGATCTGCTGAGCCCATGATGGTTGGCAAGTTTTTATTCTCTCTTCTCTGTGTGTCTGTCTCCTTTGAAATAGAAATTGAAATTAGTCCAACTTTCCCTTTCAGTATCAGTTCAGCTGCTCAGTCGTGTCTGACTCTCTGCGACCCCATGAACCGCAGCACGCCAGGCCTCCCTGTCCATCACCAACTCCCGGAGTTTACCCAAACTCATGTCCATTGAGTCAGTGATGCCATCCAACCATCTCATCCTCTGTCGTCCCCTTCTCCTCCTGCCCTCAATCTTTCCCAACATCAGGGCCTTTTCAAATGAGTCAGCTCTTCGCATCAGGTGGCCAAAATATTGGAGTCTCAGCTTCAACATCAGTCCTTCCTTCCAATGAACACCCAGGACTGATCTCCTTTAGGATGGTCTGGTTGGATCTCCTTGCAGTCAAAGGGAGTCTCAAGAGTCTTCTCCAACACCACAGTTCAAAAGCATCAATTCTTTGGCGTTCAGCTTTCTTTATTGTCCAACTCTCACATCCATACATGACTACTGGAAAAACCATAGCCTTGACTAGACGGACCTTTGTTGGCAAAGTAATGTCTCTGCTTTTTAATATGCGGTCTAGGTTGGTCATAACTTTCCTTCCAAGGAGTAAGCGTCTTTTAATTTCATGGCTGCATTGACAAAACACAGCGAAGATCCACAATGAGTTAAATACTGTCCTAATGCAGCAAAGTAACTAAGCATTATAAGGCATGACTCTTTCCCAACACAAGCTCAACTGTCTGTTCCGTTAGTATTTATTAAGCACATATGCCAGTCTTTGAGCTGAAGTTGTGGCTGTCAACCTAAAAACTGTGTCTCTGACCTTAAGGAATACAAATGAATAATTAGAATGCAATGAAAGTACACTTACAGGACAAAATCAGAGCCTAGGAAAGGCATATACAACAGATATGCCTGTATACTTCAAGGAGGACTATTTATTAAATGTTTCAATAAAAAATTGAAATGTAAGAGAAGAAGATGCTCATATTCTGTGGTGAGGATAATCACCAATCAGCAAATCATTAACTTTGAGAACTTGGAATTACAGACTCTAATGTTAGGTACTGTGCTGGGTACTGTATACACAGAAATAAAAGTAAGGTGGTCATATTTTTAAAATCTCAAAATAAGTATATGTAGTCAGGCAAGAGGTTAATGCCCAAGAGGTTAATGAGATCCAATATTTGATATCAGATCCTTTCTAATATGATAGATAGATTTCTGTATTTGTAGATAAAAAAAATTATAGCTCCTACTCTGAGTCTGAATTTCAGCATCAAAATGTTAAAAGGGTATATGGATACAGATATCACAGTGGAAACCAGGATTGATTTTCAAATGAGTTGTAGAAGTAAAAATATTATGTTCATAGGGAGGCAAAAATTACTGTTACATAGAGAAGACTGGGAAGATTTTATGTTCAAGTCTTGACCTGAGGAGGATGGACAACTGCCATTTATTGAGACTTACCATATATAAAGCATTGTGCCAGGATCTTTAATTCTCATTTGTTCTTTATAACTCCAAGAGGCAAATTTCTGTCTTATAGTTCCATTTTATAGATGAGGAAACTGATTTAGAGAGAGACTGAGTTACCTGCCCTGAGTCACACACCTGGGAAATGGTGGAATTAGGATTCAGGCATAGCCCTATAAGGCTTCAAAGTCCATGCTGTGTAAACCATAAATGGTATAAATAAAAGCACAGAGATGAGATGCCAGGCATCCTTAGTGGCTTAAATATGACCTCACAGTAAACTCAGATTAGACCAGAGACGACACACAGAAAGTTGGTAGTCTTTACTTGTGTGCCATCAGCTTGTCCTGTAAATAAACCCAGAGTGACCCTAGATTCTCATCCCTAGTGGATCAACAGGGAATAGTCTCAATGGATTTAGGTTGAAGAATGACTGGCAGAATGAGGCAGGCAAGCAGAGAGTGAACAAAAAGAATAGAATTTCACAACAAAAGATTATAGGGCAGAGATGCTGTATGTGGTGATAGAGGCAGAGAGGGCCCGGCTCAAGAAACTGTACAAAGAGAATGAACCGATAACACCGAAGTCTAAACTTATCCCAGAAGGCAAAGGAGGAAGCTGGACTGAGCAGCATGTCGTAAATGGGCTTGGGCAACACTTCACCAAGGAGCCCGTCTCTTCCCACGCCCAGTCCCTGGTGCAAGATTCAGAATGGTTCATGTTGAGTCCACAGGAGAAGTATGCTTTTAAATTTATATAAGAGGATTACACTTGGCCCTCTATATTGGAGGTTCCCCTATCCACAGATTCAATTGTGGATGGAAAATACTCAGGGAAAACAAAATTATGGAAAGTTCTCAAAAGCCAAACTTGAACTTGCCACTTAGTGACAACTGTTACATAGTATTTACATTGTATTTACAACTATTTACATTGTAGTAGGTGTTATAAGTAATTGAGAGATAATTTAAGGTATATGGGAGGATGTGCTAAGGTTATATGCAGATATGATATCATTTTATATAAGGGATTAGCACATGGATTTTGGTATCTGGAGGAAGCAGGTCCTGGAACCAAGGGACATTGGTGGGGAGAGTGGTCCACAAATACTGAGGGATGACGGTATGCTCTTATTTATATGTCCTTATTTTTAAAAGAGTTTTCATTATTTGTCACCATAGGAATGTCATGGTTTCTCATCAGAAAATGGCCCTGTTGTAGTCCTACCTATTCCCAGGTGTTTTCTTTCTGAGGGAAATACCCTTGGCCTTGGCCAAAATAATTGGATTCTTTTGATTCAGTTGATATGAGAGCAAATTTGTTCTGACATCTCCCACCTTCTGTTTTACCTTTGCTTTTTTATCTTACAGATTGGCCTGGGCTAAAGTATCAAAAGATCCTAGGATTGCAGAAGGTCAACAGTCTCCACTGGAGAAAAAAATATTGGTAAATAAATCGTCCTAACATCATACTGTTTGAAAAGACTAGAAGAAGGAAAGTTAGGTTTAAAATCCTACTGGCACCCAAGTGACACTTTGCGGTAATGTGTCCACACTGGCAAATATTTTCCAGCTAAATCTTTACTTGCAAAACAAAGTATTATTTTCAAAACTCCCAATACTATTTAAAAAAAACAAAACAACTAGTTATTGATTTTGGTGGTAAGAACACCAACTTTGAGAGCTTGCAGGCTCACCTAGGAGTGATGGAAGTAAAATCCCTGTTACTCCAAAGTTAATGACAGACCATGGTCCTTTCTTCCCCCACCTCCACCCCCACCATGGTCCTTTCTTGGTGTCAATAATGAGAATAAGCTCCTGTTTAAATATGTTCAAAGTAAGAAGATGGTCATATTACAAAATTCTGCACCTCACCTTGACAGAATCTAGGTGGCGTACATACATCAGAAGCAAAACAACTGATAATTCAAAAATATCAAGAGGAGTATGAAATATGCTGTAGGGAGCAAGGGCTTTCCCTTGACTACTGGCTTGCCAAAGCAGAGTCTTATTATAATAAAAGAATAATGGAAACGGTGAAAGAACAAGAGAAAGGCAGTGAAATCAGGAAGAGATTGGAGGGAAAAACAACCCAAAGCACAGACAGACAAAAACGGTTTTATTTGCTACCCGAGAGAGAAATGAAACACATAGAAAGGCACATACATCGAGGTGGACAGGTCAGAGAGTTTAAGAGTAAAACATTTAAACAATCAACACCACACTCTAGTGAAATAAAATTTCCCAGAATTGTGCCGGAAGAACATGGCATTCAGAACACACAGAGAAGAAAGCAGGTAAATGAGAGAGAACAGATACAGATTAAAGATCACCGGGAACGCATGATTCGAGGGAGAGAACTTGTAGAGCAAAAACTCAAGGAAAGAATCTTGAGAAAAGACCAGAGTCAGCCTCCTGTTCGTGAGAAGTGTGAGAGCATAAAGAGCATAAAGAAAGAGATAAAAGAGTATGAAAGTGTTATTGCATACCCACTTTTCCAGCCATGCGGTAGCAGTCAGATTAAAGTGAATGTTCTGATGGAAAAGTCTCAGAATAGAGAAGAAAACAACACAATGATCAAGCCATTTCAAAGAAGATTCTTAACTATGCCACCCTTTTTGAGAAGTCAAATAGGAAAAATAAAAGATTCAGTGCTTTCATGATGAGATCATGTCTCTTAAATGAACCTTTATTTTTTAAATAGGAGAATTCAAACAAAAGTTTAATAATTTATATACATAAGAGAGACCCAGGAAAACTAAGTCTGAGTCCCCCACACACACACACTTTTTTTTTTAAATGCTGGTTCTGTTCCACAGGGTTCAGTGACGTTTCTCATTTATACAGAAGTGTCAGATAGTTCTGGAATTTAAAACCAGCTTGGATATTTTTCATTGCCTTGTGTTTGTTCAAGTTGCTTATCCTTTTGATGTTCATTACTAATCTGTAAAGTTGGAAAATAATAGTTCCTAGCATTTATAAGAGAATTTCATTTTTGTGAAACATTAGCATGTTATCAGATATTTCATAAATATTGGGTTTTCCATTTGGAAAGACCTGGGTTGGGCAAAGATGGTGAATAAGGAATTGTTCTAATCTGCCTCTTCCATTCCTCCTACCCTCAGCCTCAAAGGTTATCTTGAGATTGCTGTAGGTCACCATGCAGTTTTTTGTTTTCTATTCATATCTTTATCAGGGAAGTACAAACCAGGCAGTAAAAGTCTAACTTATACCGTGTAATTTATTTGTATGAGAAACTTAATTTTGAGAACCTTCTATGTGCCAGGCATTGTTAGTTACTGAGATGAATTAAGAGAAATCCTTGCTCTTGGCCGGTTTACAGCTAATGGCATAGATCACTCTATGAACAGATAATAAAATAGGGTTATGACAGAGGTATGTCTAGGTGTGTACAGAGGAGGGACATCTAACCTAGGTGAGCAGAGTGAGGAAGAAGGCCAGAGTATAAAGTTGTAGTAATCTCTCATATTTCTGCCAGCTCCATATTTTGTCAGTTTCTATCACCCACTTAAACAAGACCTTCCCAATGTCTGGATTCACTTAGAGGTAACCCAACTCACCTTCTCTCAAATAGAGATCCTTCCAAAAGTTGGTAAATTTGGGGTTCAGAATTGGTGAATAGAGAAGCCGAAAAATGGAAACTGGATGGCCTAAGGAATATTATACTTCAGTTGTGATTGTCCTGATGCCTACCCTTTTGTATCAGCAGGACACCCTTTACAAAGATGCAGATATTGCTAGATCAGCACTGTCAATAGATCTTTCTGTGGTGATGTAACTCTTCTATAGCTTTGCTCTTCAATACAGTAGTATTTTCCCACATGTGGCTACTGAGCATTTGAAATGTGGCTAGTGCAACTGAGGGACTGAATTTTTCATTTTATTTCATTTGCATTGATTTAAAATTGCTACATGTGGCAAGTGACCACCATGTTGTACAGCATGGTGCTAGATAAATATAACTCTTGTGTTAGACCTCAATCCCACAGTCTGTTTTTTGCCTTTAACAATATTTGCAGGTATAATAGATCACTTACCTTAGTATCAGTTTAGTTTCCTTTATATTTGAGATGCTCCTTAATCCCACAAAGAGATTAAAAAATTACTGTAGCCAACTTCTATGTGGACATGAGGTGATTGAAGTTGCTTAAATTGGGTTCAGGAACTCGCCTTCCCCTTGCTCCTTTTGGAATGTGACCAGGACACCTACCAAAATCTTATTCCTACCCACCTGATTTGCATTATGCAGACTTTTTTGTCCTGTTGTTCTCTAATCTTCCATCTTCATGTGACAGTTTTAGATTATATACCTTGCAAAAATGTGGATCATCAGCATGCAAGAAGCAAGACTTAGAAATCCAAATCACTTGGGTAATGATAAACTATTTGAGTTGAGTGGGGTAGAAAAGTAACCTGATACATAGCTGTTGGTAATTGTTTACCATGTAGATATTCACTGTTGGACCATCCTTTTGACCTGTAAATGTACTCAAATCTCTTCCATCTAAGTAAGCTTCTATGTGCAGAAATTCCCTGGCAGTTCAGTAGTTAAGACTCCGTGCTCTCACTGCTGAGGTCCTGATCAGGGAACTAAAATCCCAAAAGCTGAGTGGCGTGACCAAAAAAATTTTTTTAATCAAAAATATAAAAAAAGAATAAATAAGCTACTTTGCTATTTATCTGCACTCCTTCATAGTAAAGTCTCTTTAGAAAAAATCTATACCGGCTCCCTGCATTCTAGCTTCAGTGCCCATCTGTCCAACAAATCCCTTTCTGCTGAGTCATCAGCAAAGAGCTCCATGTGGCTACATCCAATGAACAGTTAAGGGTAGAATGAAGAGAAGAATGTGCCAACAACAGCAGAAGACCCAATAGGCATTTGGCAGCAAGAGGGGTCAAGAATTTAAGGGTAGGAATGCAGTATGTAGAAAATGAGAGACCAGAGAAGAGCAGTCATCCTGAGAAGCTGGAGATCAGGCAGGGCACAGTGGGACCTGTTTAAGAAACTGGAGTAAAGTACCAAAGGAACAAGATAAGCAAGCAGTCATAAGACTCAGGATAAAACACTGGAATATGAATAGAAGCACTGACAGATCCAAACTATTGAATTGGTCTCCACTTAGGATCGAACAAGTTCTGAGTCTTAGGCTGAGCTGAGCTGACAGTCGAGGGTTTAAGAAAGTCCAAACTAGGTACTTCCCTGGTGGTCCAGTGGCTAAGACTTCTTGCTCCCAGTGCAGGGGGCCTGAGTTCAATTCGTGGTCTGGGGACTAGATTCCACATGTTGCAACTAAAAGATCAAAGATCCTACATGCCACAACTAAGACCTGATGCATATATATATATATATATATATATATATATATATTTTTTTTTTTTAGAAAGTCCAAAATAGAAACAGAGATTATCAGGTCACAGAGCAGGAGACAAAGCAGATAATTACTATAACCCTCATAGTGAGTCACTTAACATGAGATAAGATTTTTTTTTTTTTTTCATTTATTTTTATTAGTTGGAGGCTAATTACTTTACATCATTGCAGTGGTTTTTGTCATACATTGAAATGAATTAGCCATGGATTTACATGTATCCCCCATCCCAGTCCCCCCTCCCACCTCCCTCTCCACCCGATCCCTCTGGGTCTTCCCAGTGCACCAGGCCCGAGCACTTGTCTAATGCACCCAACCTGGGCTGGTGATCTGTTTCACCCTAGATAATATACATGTTTCTATGCTGTTCTCTTGAAACATCCCACCCTCGCCTTCTCCCAGAATGAGATAAGATTTTAATTCATTAAAGCATGCCTGATATTATCTCTAACCATGAACGTCATAGTGGCTTGAAAAATGAGCCTCAGGATGTAAGATGTACAAAGCTGGTGTATTTTAAATAGAGCTAAAGTCTTACAAATTAGAATAAGTCTGAATATGTGGCATTTTTAAATACTAATGTGGTAGGAAACATAAAAAATTGATTGATACCTTGACTATCATCCCATTGTCAAGTGGCTTTGCAATAAAAGGCACATCATGTTGTATGAGGCCTTTCCAGGTGGCACAGTGGTAAAGAATCCACCTGCCAAAGCAAGATACACAAGAGTTGTGAGTCCAGTCCCTGGGTCAGACAGATACCGAGGAGTAGGAAATAGCAACCTGCTCCAGTATTCTTGTCTGGAAAATTCCATGGATGGAGGAGCCTGGTAGACTACAGTTCAAGGAGTCACAAAGAGTTGGACACAACTGAGCACTCACATGCGCACACACACACATACACACACATCTATCTATCTACTTACATGTATGAGAGAAATCAGAATTATACAGATCAAAGTTGTGTTTTCTGGAAAGCCAAAATCATGACACATTAGTTTCAATGGTATGGATGGAGGAGGCTGGACTAGAATAACAGCACTGTACCCTAAAGTGT